CCATGAACTGGGCTAGCTGAGGTTGTGCATGGACCCTGGTGTTGGGACCTTGTTGAGAGTTATCTCTCTCTCTCTTTCATCTCTTTCACTCATGGAATATATAGTCTTTAAAACTTACAGATAGATAAGTGGTAGAAGTTCTAGTATTATATGGCACAGTAGGTTAACTATGGTTAACAACAATTTACTGTATAGCTCAGATTAGCTAAAGAAGATTTTCGGGAACCAGCAATTAGCGTAATGGCTATGTCACTGGACTCCCACGTAGTAGACCACGGTTCACGTCCCGGACTCGGTGGCTTAAAACTCATGCCGGGCGTGTGTGCATGCGTGCCCAAGATCCTAAGAGGAGAATGGAGGAGAAGGGATTGCGGCATGACCATCCCCCCTGGGGGATGATTTCTCGCTTTCTGTCTCTATGTCTCTCTCTGTCTGTCTGGCGAACGCACACGCCCTATAGTGAAAATCTCTCTCTCAAAAAAAAAAAAGATTTTCAAAGTTATCTATCAAAACACAGTAATGACAAGTGTGTGAGATATTGATATGCTTATTATTCTGATTTGATCATTGTAAGTATATCCTTGAATTGAAAAATCACATTATACCCCACAAATATGTAGAATTATTGTAAGTCAAATTTAATAAAAGAAATTTTAAAAAAAGAATAAAAGAGCCCTTCAGCTGTAAGATCTTGGGTTCTTGCACATGTGCCCAGAATATTTCCTACTGAACATGTCTTGGATTCCATTTGCTATATGAGATTCAGCTTTTCTTGAGCAGCACATCACCTCTGCACCACGGACCCAACCCACATAATGAAGTATTTTTAAAGCACAAAATATACTGGGATAATTTGTATTTGTGGAAAAGGAGAGAAATTCAAATTGCTAACAATTTGTAAGCATAGAAAAATTATGAAGAATGATCTCTCTTCTCTATCTTCATTTCTTAAGGAATTACTTGTGAACTATCAATATTATTTCTCTTTTTCTATTTTTGATTGAAGTATATAATGTAAAAGCCAGACATAAATAAAATCATACGTTTATAGTAATGGAGATAGTTTCTTTCTAACAAAAGATTTTAATTAACACATGAATTCACTATATGGCTGACATAGATAACATCAAACTCATTCTGTACAGTTAAGCAAATAGCCCTTCAAGACTTGTTCTGTAACTGCATATTAATTAGACTATTAAGTTTCTTGTGCAGTTCTAAAAATGTGACTGGCATATGTTTTACAGTGATAAAATTGTTTCACTTACTTAAAAGTTAAAGTGTTCATATGTCACCATTAATTAATTACACTTTATTTTTTATCAGTAACATTAGTCAGAGATAACAAATATTTGTTGACTTTAGGTCAATTAACTCAACTGATTTGTAGATTAGATTTGGTCACTTTAGAAAAGATCACTAATTTAATTGTCATTAAAAGGTATTGAAGATACTATGAACAAATAGCAAAGCATATTCTTTTTGTTTTTAATAATTTAAGAAAATTAGTTATTTTTAGCCACTGTGTTATCATTTCATTATGCACTGACTCATAAACAGCAATGTTATTATTAGAAAAAGTCAAATATTCCTTCAAATGGCAATTGCATACTATTCTGGAAATTACTGAAATTAAATAAATTATGAAATTTTCTGAAATTATTGAAAATTTTTAATGCAGAAATACATTAATAAAAATAGATTATACTTTTATTAATAACAAATAGTATGTTTTAGTTACAGCTAATTACATTATTTTAAGAAATAATTATTAGATACTTATTTCCAAGTTTACTTTCTGGGCCTAAAATACACAAAACATTTAAACTCAGAAAAAGTCTATTAACTTTCTGGTGTTGTTTATGATGGAGTACATATGCAAAAATGAGAGAGAGAGAAAGAGAGAAGCACTCTCCACAGATCTTGTAATGGTACAATCCTTTCCTTCAAGTTTTCCTGCTCACTAGAATTCTAGGCACGCACTCACAAGCCTGTTTCAGACTAATGGACAAAGGATTGAAACCGAGGTAGACATGTGGCTTCCAGCTCTGCAGTACGGTATATTACCTACTGTACCACAAAGACTGGGCTAAGACTATTAACTTTTATATCCATGAAATTTTTATTTTACTATTAAAAAAAAGTTTCCAGAGAAAGAAAGCAAAAGCATCTTCCAAAAGCATGTGGTCACAACACTATCCCCTTTCTATTTCTTCATCTTGTTGGGAGTTTTGGTGTGATGCACATGAACTTAAGGTGTGTTTCAAGTCACTGGGCTGAGATTTGCACTATGGTCAACCATGTGGGATCTAGCTCCCATAGCCATTAGGCTCACAGAGCTGGCCTAAATCCTTGTTTAACTTTTCCTTATTTTTTTTCTACTTATTTCTGACATAGCTTAATTCTGACATCTAGAGCACCTATTTATACTTTCATACTAAAACAAGTTACTTATTTGGTACCATATTTATACATAAAAAATGCAGAACTAAAAAACTAATGAAATATCCAAAATTAGAAAGCTTTTTAAAATACAAAAAGTAAGATATAATGGAAGTTGTTTTAAAAAAATGGAAATCCTGGCTTATCTTCTCGAAGGCTTGGTTGAAGCTTCATTAAAAAGCAATTAACTTCTAGAAAAGATTAAATTTTATCAGCATAGCCATTTCAAAGTTAAATTCATTATCTTGAACTAATATCAAAATTAGATTTCAGAGACTTTGTAATGATCCCAGTCCTGTGCACGCACATGCAGGTAATTCTGGTAAAGTGCTAGTGTCACACTGCTCACTCTTTATGATAGAAGGAAATGTTTCAGGAAAAGATGCTCAAGTTAATCTTCTATAAAGAATGATCTCTGGAAATAATCTTACTATATTACGCCATTTGAAATTCTCATTTCGGAGAGCAAGCCCGCCTATGTTTCCTTTAATGCTGATTACCATACAATATCAACAAAAGAGCTATGGACATCTGCGAGATATTTTTCCTTGATACCCCAAATTACATTGCTAGAAATATATTGTCAGATAACTTGGCTATGTCAAGAGTCTATGACTCATTTATGTGAAAGCCTTCCCTCAGTACCCATTTGTTTTTATCATTTCTTTTCATTTATTTATTTATTTATTTATTTATTTATTTATTTGAGATTTTTTGCTATAGGGCTAGTGGCTTGCCAGAGAGTCAAAAAGTGAGAAATCATCCCTTAAGGGGAATGACCATACCACAATCCCTTCTCCTCCATTCTCCTCTTGGGATTTTGGGTATGCACATATATGCACCTGGAGTGAGTGTCAAGTCACTGGGTCTGAGACTCAAAACACGGTTGATTATGTAGAGTCCAGCACCTCAATCACTATGTCACCTGCTCACCTCACCCATTCCCTTTTTAAAATGAGATTCCATATGGCTGACCATAGTTCAAATTTCAGCCCTCGCAGCTTGAGAGATGCTCTAGGCATGCGTGTATATATGCCCCAAATCTCAACAAGGTGGAGAAACAGAGGAAAAAGGATTGCAGTTTGACTGTTTATTTCCTTATATGAAGTAAATAATAACTTTCTGTGGCAATGAACATGATGTCCTTTGGCTTTGAATGTTTTCTGCCTGATAGTTTCACCCTAAATGCCCTACCTCTTGCTTTTATTCTAACCCCATCCCTCAACTCCAGCCAACTCTTCTGATTGCCTCAGTATGCTATGCTTTTGTGATCACTCACTATTATCTTTTCCTCCAGCTATCCAATCCCCTAACTTTTCTTCAAGATACAAACCCAAGTTTTATATCCTTCATAAAATTTGTTCTCATTACCTTTGACTGTAGTGGATGGGCATAGAGTAAAGTAGCTTCCAGGCCTTCCCTGAGGATTAACTCTATTCTTTGCTTTTGTAACAGAGAGATAATTATGTCCTTTGTAAAGTTTTCCTTTTTTAAATTCCCAAAGCAAGTCCACATGGGGTTCTCTCACTTGCAATCAAAGAACTTTGGCACATGTGGCAAGTACTGTGTGTTAAATATTCTTTCACACTATCCTCAATACTCACTAAATATTAAGTATAGTAGAAGCGCTCAATAAATATTGAGACCTACTTTATCCACACAGTAGCCACTAACTACATTGAGACATTGGTCAACTGAAATGTGATGGGCGCACACTGAAATTTGTTATAACTGTAAGATGCACAGAAGATTTGAAAGTCAATACTAAAAAAAAATTAGAAAATAAAAAATCAGTGCATTTCTATATTGATTAAAATTTGTATGTATTGAGTTAAATACAATATATTATTTAAATTCCACCTTTTTTTTTCCTAGTTACTGTGTCTACTATAAATTTAAAATTATGTGTGGGTTATACTCAGTTTTTATTGATTAACAGAAATTTAGAATTTTTTTCTTAAATTGAGAAACAGAAAAGAATATTGTCATTTTCCTTAATTTTAGAGACTTAGTGATATTTACAGTGGTATCCTATCCTAGCACTTCTTTCTATACCTGTATCTTACTATTCTAGGGAGTATTTCCTGGGAGCTGTATCTACTTATGCTATATAATATTCCATACATTCCTAACCATTTCATACTTCTTAGATAAACAATTACATTTAAGTTAATGAACATTAGAAAATGACAGCATTTTTCAACCATATATGATCTACAGCAAATTTTTAGTGATGAAGGGTTTAAAGCAGAAACAGGATTATCTTATTTCATTCCATTTCAATCCCTAAAGAGATTTATTTATTTGAATGCAAGTCATGTTTATTTTCAGGCTCAAGAAATGATAAGGTATTTCTCTTATAAGTTAATAACTTTAAAAAATACAGCTTTAAAATGTTTCAATGTAAGTAGGAAAAATATATAAATTCTTGTCAGAGGGTTTAGTGTAGAATGACTCCATCTCAGAACACATTAAAAATAGGAATATTTGATGCATTTCAGCTTGAAATTAATACTGTGTGCCAAAGACAACTTCTCTTCAATACAAACCATACTCACTTGATACTCTTGCAGGTTTTTCTGCTAAAAAATAGAAAACATAAATTTTATTTAACCAAGATAAAGTGCAAGGAAATTATACACCAATGGACTATATAAAAGTACCTAATATATTTTTAGTTTCTTCCTATTTGCTTAAGAGTTAATGAAGAAATATTGGTCTTTATTGAATAGGTCTTTGAATATCTTAGTTAATCTTTTTTATGTTAAGAAAGTATGGTAGTTATCAAAAAAAGCTATTCATCATTTCAGATGTCACAACATATTTATGCCTTTTTAAACGTTCTTATCAAAATCAGCAGAATCTTTGTTAAATGGAGTGTGTTGGCTCAACTATAATTATACCTAACTTGAATAAGATTACTTTAAATTGTGTAATTAATCTAAATATTTTCTCTCAGATTTCTAAATTTCATAAAATATATCATGGAGAATTATTTTCCTTTCAAAAATAAAGACAAACAACTACAAAATAGAATATAAATACATAAATCTTAACAAGCAATATGTAAAATTAGTTTACTTTTTCACATAATTTATTTCAATAAGATCATTATCTTTCAAAATAATATGTTTTATCATTAAGTTTTATGTATGAAGGGCAAAAGCTACAGGTAAAATAATTCTCTCAAATACTATAGCAGGCATTGGACCTTTAAAAAAAATACACACAAAAACTCTTCACTCTACCAACATAAGTCTCATTTAAAGGGCAAGGTTGAAAATAAAGTTTTGAAAATAATCTGTATTAATGATTTACTTTGAGAGTTGAAGAGTTTCTTACATAAACCTGAGAATTATAAATTTACAGAAATAAGCCCATGCCAGTAAAAAGTTTTTAAAAAGCATTTTTAGATAGGATAATGTCTTAGTGATAATCAGGGCATTATGCATATAATCACAGCATTATGCCTAAAACATTACTTATAAAATTATAAAACAAAATAATTCAGAAAAATACTTCATTCAGATTACCATGTTACTATTTTTCCCTTGAAAATACTAACATTGGCTATGAAAACAGGAACTAAGAAAGGAATAAAATAAAGTTTTATTAACTTTTAATGAACTATCTGTGAAATGAAAGAACAAATAAGAACATGTCTGCTCTCAACTAGCACTGAGTGAGACTAGTGCTTTCATATGCAATCATTTTTCTCTACTGTATATCCATAATGTAAATATCTTAGAAATAACAAATGCACAGAACAGGGTGAAAAGGAAGTATTCATCTGGTCTGAACTACTCTAACATCCAGTTACTTCTGACTATAGCTCTAATAGCTCACTCCTTTGAGGGCAAAGTGGGATCCATTTCATCTTTGGGCTTCTCTGATCGGTAGAAAGCTTTCTCTTATACTTGGAACAGTGTGATAGGATAGTGAAGACTGATAGGATGGATTTAACTGTAATGGAGTCTTGGAGCCAAGGCCTGCCTACCATGTAAATATGCTGAGATGCCAGATTTCCTTTCACTGCATTTATCTTTAAACTGGAAATTATAAGGCCACATCAAGAATTAAATGAACTAATCATAGGAAAGGATATAACCATACATTTTCCAAGTAATTAATTTCTTCTCATCCTTTTGGCTCATTACTACAGAAGACAAGAAACAATATTTTGAAAACCCTTCAAATATAAAAAATGGTGCTCTATTTTCATTTCAAGTATTTTTTTTTAAATTTTACCATTACTGATGATTATGTCTACATTATTATGATTATATATATAAATTATATTTGCTACTGTTTAGGCATACATATTAGAATAAGCAGCAAGACAGAGTCAATAGGGAAAAAGGGTTTTCCTCCCCACAGTGGAGATCAATGTATTCACTATGAATGAAAATAACCATAAAATCAAGACTCTATTGTCTCTCTGTCTCTCTCTCTCATTAATGGAAGAAATATATAAATAAACTTTTAAAAAATTGACTTACTTGTGGTATATTTACTTAGCACCTTAGAATTTAGGTAATTCAATTAATTGAATTTGCCTAAAATGATGTCATTCAGATGACAGAATTCAGTTATAAATTTTATTTATAGCTTTAGGATAATAATATCACCAAAATAAAACATTTCCCTCTTTTAGGAAACATCTATCTGGCATGTGTATGCTGGTATTTTTCCACTTTGCATCTAGGTTGAATTAATTTAAAGGGCCCACTTATAAATAAAAAAGTGTTTGAGCTATTACTTTTATTCAGTCATAGATAAAATTAATCCAGCTATATCTGTTTTAACTATTATATCATTTTTATATTTTACTTATGATACAAAAGTCTTTTGTGATAGAGACTTTTTCCTCTAGTGTATACTGGAATATTTTGTTGAATGTTTATATTGTTAGCAGTTCTAATTTCTTTATATTTTCTAATATTTTTCTAAAATGTAAGCTTTCTGCTATATTTCTTACATGTCCACTTCTGCAATTAACATCACCACAATTCAGCATTTTCAAAACCACATAGCATTTGAATATTTATAAGTTTTAGATTACCTTTTGTCACATTGTGCAAGTCAAGACTCCCTTTTCTTGTTGGGACTGCTTATAAGAAAAATTAAAATTAAAATATAAATTTTAAAGAAAAACATCATAAATGTGTTTACTTTTATCAAGTCTAATCTTTAGAAACAGGGAATTAATTGAAGTGCTATACATATTTTCTCAGAGCGATTTTCAAAAATTTCACTTTCTACTTAATAAATTCCTAACAAAAATAAGTGTTAATGGTAGAAATTGTTTGGATTGCATAAATAAGAGGTGTAACATGTATGAGTGAGTCAGTTAAGTAAAATCTATGGAAAATGGGTCAATCTAATTAACTGAATTAGAGAATGAACAGAAAAAGTTTCTAAGTTAATTACAATTGTTCTATATACCTAAAAATATGTTCCTCCTGATTCAGTAGAATATTTCTTTGATAATTAAGGGCTTTGGAAGTTTCATAGTTAATTATATTGAAAGCAGTGCTTGTATTAGATGGAGAAGTTTGCTAAATAAATAAATCAATGTGAGGGGAAGATGCAACATTTTGACTAGTTTCTAGTCAAACAAGTTTCTAACTTGTTCATCAAGGACACAACACATGACGCTTATTCAATGGATTGGCCATGAATTGATAATCTATTGATCCTTTGATTATCTAGTGATAATCTACTCATCATTACTGCATACCACCAATTACAACTTTCTTTTTAAAAATCAGATTAGCATTTATTATATAAATTATTTATTTACAAGTCATACAATTACATCTTGACTCAATTGTCTTCAGGGCTTTACAGTATGCTTTTTATTTTTTTAAGCTTATTGTTATAGGGCACATGCACTCTCTAGAGAGAGACAGAGACAGTGAGAGGCAAAGTGAGAAATCACCCTTTGGGGGGGATGGACATACCACAGTCCTTTCTCCTCTAGTCTCCTCTTGGGATTTTGGGCATATGCACACATGTGCCTGGCATGATATTTAAGTTGCCGGGTCTGGGTCTCAAACCACAGTTGGACATATGGGAATCTAGAGCCTTAACCCTTATGCCACCTGCTGGCCTCTGCTTTTTTATTCTTTTAAAAAACTACCTGTTTCTTCTTTAAGGTGCTTTATTTCTGCTTTTTCTGCAGAGAAGACATGATAATTTAGAGTAATATATTTCTTAATAAGTATTCTTAAAATTTGAGGTCAAATTTTCTGTAGTCAATGTTCATAATTCAGGAATATGAAAAGAATTTCTAGTTGTTAAAAGAACAATAGTAGGGTGAGTATGCTTTGGGATGTAAATTTCTACTCCCTTTACATATTTCTTTCTTTTTTTCTTTTTTAAGAGATTTTGCTTTAGGTTGCATGCACTCACCAGAGTGAGAGAGAGAGACAGAGATAGAGAGGCAGAAAGACAGAAATCACCCTCCAGGGTAGAGAGCCATGCTGCAATCCCTTCTCCTCCATTCTCCTCCTGGGATCTTGGGCACACATGCACACATGCCCAGCATGAGGTTTAAACCATTAAGTCTAGGACTTAAAGGTGGTTGACCATGTGGGAGTCCAGCGACATAACCATTATGCCATCCACTCATCCCCCTTTTAGACATTTCAAAATAAGATACCCACACATTCTGTGTGCTTCAACTGCAATGAACAATTCTGATATGTGCTATAAATCAGTATCCACAATTTCATATATTGCTCTTAAGTCTCATAATTTGTATAATTACATAATTTAAAAAATTTTGCTAGAGGGCTTGTGTGCTCCCTGGAGACAGACGGAGAAAGTGAGAAAGCACTTCCCCATAGCAGATGGTTATGCCACAGTCCCTTCTCCTTCATCTCTCCTCCTTCTGAGATTTAGGGCACACCCACTGGCACCTGTTGAGTTTTTTAAGCCACCAAGTTGAGATTCAAATCAACAGCTGGTTATGTGGGATCCAGTCACCTTAATCACCAAGTCACCAGTTGGCCCCTTAATTATTTTTATTCCTATGTTTCTAGTGATAATTTGATGTGCATATCTTTAAATGTCCTCTTTACCTTTACCTTCCTTTTCAGATTTTTCAATTCTCTTCTTTTCTAAGAGGAAAAAAACAAGAAATCATTGTCTTTAAATACACAGTTTTCTTAATCTTTGAGTAAATAGCTAAAGATAAGACTGAACACCATGACTGGATGGGTGTCAGAGCTCCACCATTTCAAAAGGTGAGGGGAGTCTCCCTCTCATGTGTGAGAGTATTTTTGGCCTTGCTTGGTAGTTCTGTTTACATTCACTCACCTGTATAACAAAAGTCCCCTGCTTTTTCTTTTTTCTTTCTTTTTGCCCCCCCTTTTTAAAAAACATGTTTTAAAAAGAATGTACTGCAAAGCATGTATTTATTTTAATGTTTAAACTAGAAATAGAAAAAATCCACATTTTTAATTGTTATCTTTAAAAAATAAGAATTTGGTGCATTGGATGTTCAATAAATATACTAATGAATGAAAACAATAACAGGGTTACATAATATCTGCAAGCAAAACTTGGACACAGTTTTCAAAACAGTCTTGATGAGCTGATAATTTCCTTCAACTAGGTTTTTCAGACATGAATAAGAAGGGAACCAAATTTTGACAAGAAATAACCAAGTATATGGTGAGAATGTGACAGGTATTTCATTTAGTTCTCCTAACAAGCCTTTTGGGAAGTCATTATGCTCTTCTGTAGATAAGAGAACTGGGAATTTAAGCAGAAAAGAGAGTTCATAAATGTTGCACAGTTAATCAAACTTACTGCTTCCACAGAGTTATGTTACCACTTCTGTGGAAATAAATATTTACCTGATTCTGTGTCTTCTGATGCTCGTTCTTTAGGAGTTAAGGGATATAATACAAGAAAAAGAATACAAAAGAATTAAAAAAATATTTTAAATATTTCAAAAGCAGACAATTGAACTTATCTTCAGATTTTTAAAAATTTAATCCTGGTAGTGATGACAATAGACACACAAAGTAGGAAAGACATGTAGTGATCATTAATATTTCTGAAAACTAACTAGACATCTATGTTCAAAATAAACCACTCTAGGGACCGGCAGTTAGCGTAATGGCTATGTCACTGGACTCTCACGTAGTCGACTGTGGTTCGTGTCCCGGGGACCCGGTGGCTTAAAAAACTCACGCCAGGCGCGTGTGCGTGCGTGCCCAAGATCCCAAGAGGAGAATGGAGGAGAAAGGATTGCAGCGTGGCCATCCCCCCTGGAGGGTGATTTCTCGCTTTCTGTCTCTCTGTCTCTCTCTGTCTCTCTCTGTCTGGTGAGCGCACGTGCCCTATAGTGAAGACCTCTCAAAAAAATAAAAAAATAAAAATAAATAAATAAATAAAATAAACCACTCTACAGCCTAATCTAAAACTCTCTGTTCAAATATGGTAGAATTAATCTGAGTCTTTTGGACGGTATAATTAAAATTATAAAGCTTTGTTGCATACATTTTTAGTTTGATCTTCACAGATACATGTGTTAATTTATTGAATATTGATTAAAGCAATTTAATGTATAAGTTGCTGTACCAAGAGTAGTTGAATGGGGTTGTGAGATGAAGTTGAAGACTGTAACAGAAACAAACTTAATACGTGGTGACTGCAGTAAAAAATGAGTCAAACAAGTAATAGTATCTGTCTTAACCTAACCCATTATAATGCAGAGACAGCCTCTCTTTTTACTTCTTCAATAAATGTACAGACTAATAAAATATTTATATATAACTTGATTTTTTTTTGAAATCTTTCCCCCACAAACCAGTTCAAGTGAGTATTTCTAGAAAACATACTTCATACTTTGCTTAAGAGAAAGTTTGCCTCAAAAAAAAAAAAAAAAAGAAGAAAGAAAGAAAGAAAGTTTGGGGCCAGATAACGGCACAGAGTTAATGCAGCTGGATCCACATGGGAAAAGTCCTGGATTTGTGCCTTGGAACCACCTGCCTAGGTGGGTATATGTGTTAATTCTTCATTTGAAGAGGTATTTAATGCTATTTATTTACTTGTTAGACATTTTTGCTATAGGACACATGTGCTGACCAGAGAGACAGAAAAACAGGAAGTGAGAATTCAGCTCCAAGGGAGAATGGCCACACTGCAATCCCTTCTCCTCTGTTCTCTTCTTGGAATTCTGGGCATACACACACACATACCCTGTATGACCTTCAAACCACAGAGTCCAGCACTTGAACCATGGTGGGCCAAATGAGAGTTTAGAGCCTACATAACTACACCACTTGGTTGCCCCTCTAATGCAGTCTTAAAAGGTGTTTCTCACAATGATAGCATGGGGATAAATGCACCACTGACTCATTAGAGCAAAGTGAACAAAGGATGAACATGCCGTTGGAGGTGCCTCTCTCCAAACAAATAAATAAACTTTTTAAAAACTATTTTATTTAACTTTATATTTATTGATTTATATATTTATTTTAATTTGACCAGAGAGGGACAGAATGAGAGAGAGAGAGGGTGGGGGAAAGTGGGAAACCAAGCCACCAGGTTTGGAATTTAAACTGCCATCAGCCATGTGGGAGTACAATGGTACAGTGCCCTTAACCACCACGCCCTGTGCCGGCCCTGAATAAATAAATTTTAAAAAAGAGAAATACACATTTTTTTTTTTAGATATCAGTCTTAAAATATCAACCTTTTTTTTTTATAAGACTGATACCTTTTGTTAATAGCCTTACATAACTTTTGAAAATGATTTCTAACATTCAAGAAATATTTATTAAAATATTTTAAAATAATGAAGATGGAGAATAAATAATGTTTCATAAACACAATAGTATTTCTGAATGATTTTATGGTAACATTTCACATTAGCATTCCAGTTTTGACTCTCAACCCTTAATTTTCATAATACTCATCACACTTGTAATAATGTTATAAACTAAATATGCAAACAATTGTCTACAACCCAAAGGTAATATTTACTGTTCTAAGATTGGCATTGAATCCATTCAGAACAAAATTGAACTCTGTCATAATGCTGTTAAGTAACTAGATTAGTCCTCAGCATTTAAAAACTTTGGATACAACTTCTAGATCCACTCTCAATTTAAATGCACCTATTTTTATCCCAGGGTAAAGTCTGAGATGCATTTCAATGATATTAAATAAACAATACATTTTTATCATTGTTTAAAATGTCAAATAAAGCAATGATTCTAAATTGCTAAAAAGACCTTACCTTGAGACTTGGAAAAAATAAGAAAATAAAAAGCTAATATTTAACATTAAATAATTTAGAACAACTACCATGTGCTCTGAATTTTTCTTAAAGCACATATTGATCATCAAAGGATCTTCATGTTGTGTTTACTCAATATATCCTAACAAACAAAAGCAGATAAAAAAGAAAAAGTCTACTTTTTTTATGCAAGTATTAGTTATAATGGTTAATTACATAGATATGACAACAAACATTTTAAGCATTTCTTCACATATACTGAAACAGTGTATGTTTAAAATTAGTGAGTGGAATGCATACAATTTTTGTCAGCCAGGGTTACTTATACTGGTAACAGCATACTAGTTATTACTTCAATAAATATACCACAGTTTTTTACTGCATTTATAATTCAAAGAAATAAAATTTAAACTATGAAATGGCAGTCTCTAAATTTTAAAATGATACACTTACTTGAAATTGTTTTTTGTTTGTCTAAGAAGGAAAACAAAGAAAAGAAAATGAGTGACAATTTTCTGTTTATAGGGAAAGTATTAGCCCTGTTTCTGTTTTTTTTTTTTTTTTTTTCCTTCTCTTTCTCTAGCCAAGCTAGAAATAAGGCTGTTAGAGTTCAGATAATTGTTTGTCCCCTAAGGTTTATGTTTTATAATTTGTTCTTAGTGGATAGTGATTGGATGTCTCTCCAAAACTTTAGTTGTATTGTAAAGGTGTCAAGTGAAAACTTAATCCCTTCATGATGTCCCACCATGAGTAGGAGCTCTCTGGATTGAGTTTTTTTTTTTTTTTTTTTTTTTTTTTTAAAATAATAATAGTTGGAGGTTTTTTGATTGGTTTTTTTTTTTTTTTTTTTTTTTTTTTTTTTAAAGATAATTTTGCTATAGGGTGCATACTCGCCGGAGAGATAAAGAGAAAAAGCAAGAAATCTCTCCCTGGGGGAATGGCCACACTGCAATCCCTTCTCCTTCATTCTCCTCTCAGGATCTTGGCATGCATGTATATGTATCTGGCATGAGTTTTAAGCCACCAGGTCCAAAATTCAAACCACGGTCAACTACATGAAAGTCCAGCGACATAACCATCACACCACATGCTGGTCCTAAGTTCTAGTGTGTACATAAGAAAAAATAGGCAGACAGAGGCTTCATGCGTAGAGACTACACACTACTTGGCTCAAAAATTATGTATTCCACTATTTTCTGATAACTTCAGACTTTGCAGCTACCAGAAATGTGAGTCAATAAACTTCTGTTTCATTATAATTTACCAGTGTCAGGTATTTCTGTTAGCAATGCAATAGCAGACTAAGAAAGGGGTTAACCATATTAAGATGCGTTATAGAGACATATTTTTGTATAATTTTTAAGTAAATTATTCAGTGTGTTCTTCATAGAACACTTGTAAAGCTTGAGGCTCTCTTGATTTCTTTTTTAAAAATTATTGTTTATTTATTTAATTCCACTTGTTGTTGTTATTTTTTAATTTGACCAGAGAGAGACAGTGAGAGATAAAGGGAAAGTGAGAAAGCAAGCTGCCAGGTCCAGGATTCAAACTGTGGTTGACCATGTAGGAATCCAGTCCTTTTAAACACCATATTACCTGCTGGCCCCAGGATCTTTTGATCTTTTTATCCTTATAAAAACATATATTTAATTTAATGTGATATAAATCACAATAATATAAATTTTCTTTTTCTGAATGGCACAAAATTGCAAATTCTGTCACTACCTTTTCAGAATATAAATTAATTAATGTTAACAACTTAAACTCTCCAATTCATTATTTTGAGTGAAGAATTCATTATACAATCTCAGAAAGAATAAATAGGTGGTAAGTGAAGATTTGTATTATAGGAACATGTTCTGTTTTTCAGCAATATATAGTCCTCTTAAATTATTCATTAAAAATATTAATTTTGCAGTCTTACACCTAAGATTGTCATTATTATAAAAAAGTAGGCAATATTTGGCTATGATTGTATACAATTTGAAACATTCATAATTAGCTAAACTAACATATTAACAGTGAGAAAATTAATTCATATAATTTTACAGAGAACAATAAGGAATATTTATTGAAAAATACATTGAATATGCCTTTTCCATAAAACAGTCTACTTAAAAGAATTGTACTCCACAGATAACATGTCTAGATAATAAGATATATTTATATAAAGTACATATTTATTTATATAAAGTATTTATATATTTATATAAGTAAACTGTACAATTATAAAATGGAATATAATTAATAACAAAACTTTTAATGTACAGATATGAAAAAATCTTCAAGATATGTTCTTAAATAGAAATATGTAAGAACAGAATTATTTATACTATGTCATGATTTATGTAAGACAAAGAAAAGGAGGATACATAAACGTATGTATCTGTATTCAGAGTCTTCAAAACATTTATTAAAAGTGGTTATTAGGAAATAACTAAGCATAGATGTTTTAAAATTTTGCATCAAAACAAATACATACATTTTCCCATGAACTTTAAAAAATACCCATCTATAAACTGTTGAAAGCACAAGTTTAAAAAATAGCAGTAATTACCTAGTGAATATTATTGTATATTTTTGAAACGGGAACAGGTAAAATAGGAAAATAGATAGATAAAACCTTTTTAAAGAAAATATATCAATGTGAAATTCACAATTAAGGGAATTTATTATGAATAATTTGAAAGGCTATTTAAAAACTATCAACAGTAGGGACTAGCATGTGGCGTAATGGTTACATCCCTGCACTCACAAGTAGTTTACCATGGTTCAAGTCCTGGGCCTGGCGGTTTAAAACTGGCAGTGAGTGTGTGTGCATGCCCAAAGTTTCAAAAGGAGAATGGAGAACAGATTGCAGCGTAGCCATCTCCCCTGAGGAGGGTGATTTCTTCCTTTCTGCATCCGTCTCTCTCTGTCTCTCCAGTGAAAGCACATGCAAGAATCTTTCATAACTAACTAAATAAATAAATAAAACCTATCAACAATAAATGAACTCCATCAGTATGATAAATTATGTTAATATTTAAAAACAATGGAATTCTGAATTCTGAATATTCAGGAAGGACCTTGTGAATTATAAATACAAATCTAATTTAATGTTTTTATATTATGGTAGCATGTTCAGTCAAATAATACCAGTTTTTAAATCAGATGAATTATATTATACTGAAAAAACCCACAAGACTAAACAGAACCAGGGAAAAAAAATGAAAAACACTTGTATGTGTTGCTTTAATTTTTAATTTAATAAAAATTGTGACTTTAGATAGAATGTAAACCCCAAAGGCAAAAATACCTGCTTTTACAGAGGGAAGTTCTTTTTCTTGATGTTCAGCTTTTTCTAGAAAGAGGAATGAAAACTTATTACCAATCTGTGAGTACTTTGTGCATCAAGCATTTTTTTAAATTTATGTATTTGCAGACAACACTCAGTTTACATGTCAGACACGTCCCCAAACTCATTTTCATGTAACTTGTAACACAAAAGGCATGTTGGTATGGAAACACATTATAAACAAGGTTAGCTTAGGACAAAAGGCTTTCTCCTTTTTAGCTGAAAGAGAGTACTAGAGTTCTGACTAGGCTGGGGTCGTGCAGTCTATACATAAGAATATGGATATGCTGAAAAGGAGAATAAGAAGATTTCTTCTTTCTTTGGATTGAGTCCTTGGGGCTATTTAAAAGTAGGTGATATTTGACTTAAAAATTTCACCAACTCCTCTTTTTGTCTCTAGGACTCCTAGTTCCCTTCTTGTCAGGTCAGGAGCAATTTAGTGCTGGATATCAGTTTGCTATTAAAAAATTAACCTATATTCATTCTATGCCAGAGAGTGCCACATTTTGTATTTTTATGGTCCTGTACGACCCTCCTTTTACAGGTCCAACTGGAATTCTCAGAACGGAATCTTAACTAATCCTAGGACATGAGGAATGAAATCACAATTTAGAAGCAATTGGCTTCCCACTCAAGCTCTCTGAAAACGTATTTAAAATTTTTAAAGAGATTTCTTTAATAAAAATTAAATTTAAAATCAAGCTACGATGAATAAAGGAAAAAAATAAAATTAAGCTATGTGGTGACACTGTTCTGTGATGCTGGACTCACATGGGAACGTCTCAGGTCTTTGTCCTGAGGCTTCTCTGGACATGCTGGGTGTGTATGCACATCCTTGTGATGTGGGCTGAGACGGGGGGAGGGGGAGGTGAATCATGGCCTGAGGACCATTTTGGGGATAACTTTCTCTTTCTCTCTCACTAAAGAAATAGATAAATGAACTTTAATGAAGCCATGTAGGGAGGGATATCATGAATGAAACTGAGGATATTTGTAAATTGAGCAGATTACTGGAGCAGACCTAGTGTTAGGTCTTCCTCATGACCTCTGGTGTTAGTTCCTCTGAGCTGTTCTTGATGTTTGCCTGGCTTTTCTTTTCCTCACTTCTGAACCTGGAGATGCTCTAAGACTACTGCTGCTTTTCCCCCAATATCATACACCAGTAGTGAAAAAGGTGTGAAATTGTGGGTTTTCTAATGACTTTAGGCTTACTAGATATGTGTATATCGGGGATTGACAGCATTCAAGAATAAACTTGCATTAACCGAGTTTCCATAAATGTTAATATTAAATAAACATGCAAAATAACAAAGTTCAATAGTAGTCAAGCTATTAAATATATAGACATATAGCGATAGATATAGATGCAGATATAGATATTTCTTTCTTTCTTTCCTTTTTTTTTCCCCCCATAGAACACATGCCAGAGAGAGAAGTGAGAGATCACATTCCGGGGGGGGCAGGGGGGGATGACCACATCACAATCACTTCTCTATTCTTTTCCTGGAATTTGGGGCATGCATGCAAACATGACCAGAGTGATTTTCAAGCTGCCAGATCTGGGGCTCAAACCATATTTGACCATGTGGGAATCCCGCACCTTAATCATCCCAACACCTGCTGGCTCCATCTATTAAATTATCTTAACAGCACCACAAAGAAATAATAAAAGTAATAATAATATAAATATGTATTCAAATATATATCACAGTTTCTATGAAATGAGTATGCTTTAACTAGGCTCCATACACATGGCATTGTATTTCTTAAACTATTTATATGACCTCCTAAATGGTCTCCCACATGTATCATTGACCTTTGTACTATTTGTCTTACAGAAGCCAGAATTTGACCAACAAACACTCAAACCTTAATCTAAGCTTGTACTTCACAAACGTAGATCATTCAAAGATTTGTATCACAATTTTGACACATTGATGGATGCTTTTACAACCTATATGACAATGGGCAAATGTTTATGCTTTATTTAGCCCAATAGTCACCTTCAAACTCCTGCCCTCATAATCTCTGTGTCACACATGTATAGTAAAATGCAGAATCTTAAGTCCATCATCATGAGGAAATTTCATGATTTTAATAGACAAATGGCAAAGTGATTACAATTTTATGGATTTCTAAATGTCACAGTCTATCTATGGCATAATTAATGCAGCTTAAAGAAAGGAAATTAGTTCGTAACACTGACAACTGTGTATCGTTTAATTTTCTTTCATCACTCATTCTGTATGTTTGAAAGGTTATTGACCTAACTTCTTACTAATAGTAGTTTTTAGCTTATGTGGACTTGCTTAATATTAATAACAGTGATACAACATCCAGATACTTCTTCTACAGAGTTAGAATGAATCATTAATTAGTATTGAAAGACACGGTGTTAAATCAAAGCCACAGCAATAACATTAATTTTTCACTAACACAGGTAATTAGCCATAGGCAACACTAAAAAACAGCAATTAAAAACATAAGCTAATTGTTATAATTGAAACATTTAAGCAACAATTCTCAGGTTTTACTCTTTTTATGTCTTACTTTCTGGTTTGGGCTTGACTGTGGAGAACAGAGGGAAGTAGATGGTACAGATGAGCACAAACCATGAAAAAATAACTTTTCAGAATTTACATTGAATCTTCCCACGTTTTATATTCTTCCCTTAGGTTAAGCTTAACTTATTTCCTCTGAGCACTATTTCACTGTCAGCAAATACATTAATGAAACAGCTTAGTGAAAAACTTGATGCACATAAAATTAGAAGCAATCTAAATATGTTGGACACAAATACATCGAGCTAGTTTTTTTCATAATCCTCATTCTTTAACTGGAGATCATTAGGAAGTCATTAAAAGCAACTTAGGGTACAAATTAGAGGGATTTTTTTTCTAAGGAAATTGGGCAATGGTAGGAAGAGAGCACAATGGTCATATGAGAGATAATGTGAACATGGCCTCATGAGTTTCTTAAGAAGCAATAATCTGGCCATTTAAATAAATAATTAGTTCTCTACTGAGCTCTATTATACTTTCCTCCAAGAAACTGTATTTAAATCTTAATTACCTGATTATATCGGTTAAAGGAGAAAAAAATTACTTCACAGACCTTTTCTTTTAGAATAATTATTAGTAAGAGATAAGGCAGTAGGGTTTCCGTCTTGGAATCAAGATGGAGTCAGTATGAAAGATGTCAATTAAATTGAACTCAGTAGCTGTTTTCTACATATAGGAAAGACTCCAGAATTGCAAGGATGTGTGCGATCTTAATTTTTTTCTCACATGGAGTAATAAGGGATAGATTGATCATTTTTAAAGGACTAGAGGGTGCATTTGATGGCCAGAGAAAGACAGAGAGACAGAGAGAGTGAGAGGAGAAAGCACTCTACAATGGTCATGCCACAATCCTGACTCCATTTCTCCATCTTGTCAGGAGTTTGGGGGCATGAATCTGCATGCACACAGTATGTTTTTTTTTCCAAGCTACTGGGGCAAGATTTTGACTGTGGTCAGATATGTGAAATCTATTCCATTAACCACTAGGTCATGGACCTGTTCAAATATAGGCTGATTTTAATACTGTATGGTCTGTTGATTTTTCTTTAAGGCAGTCTTAAAAAGTTATCCATATATATAACTCTTAATGAAGATCCTGAGAAAGAAAATTATTCCAGCTGATTTATAAACAGCAAAAATTTTCAGTTCTCTGTGACTTTCAGATTCGAGAAAATGTGATTTGAAAATTAATGAAATACATAAGAGTACATGGTAATAAATACATTACATAGATAACTATAAACCAAAAATTTCACATGTAAATTTAAGTCAATCACACTTCATAATAAATAAAGTATATCTCTCTAGCTTTTGTTATTTTTAATAAATAATTTTGAGTGTATCTTTATAAATTGCAGAATTAATAATCTTATAATTTATGGCACCAAAAGTCTACATACTTTGGACAAGATGTGTGTACCTAACCACAAAACATAAAATTAATACACAAAAGCAAAATATAAAATATCTTATTTACCTGTTTTTTCTATTGTGACAGTTTTTACCTGCTTGAGGACTTTCTCTTCTGTGATAGGAAGAAATGTTAACACAAGTAGAAATTTTGAATGCATCAATATAAAATGGTGACATATATGCTTCAACCTGGCTATTTTATATTTATTTCAAAATAACAATAAGGCCAAGGAAAGCTTATTTCCCCTGTAAAATGGCAAATACTATGTCATATTCAAATTGGATGGAAACACAAGGAAAATTCATCTGAGATATCCTGTATAGCTGTCTCACCCCATAGCTTTCCTAATTTAAATTATTCCCTAACCTGTGGGTAAAAACCCTATCATTTGCCTTCACTGTATTTCACTGTGATCTGCGCAATGCTGCTGTAAATATATATTTGTGTGTATATGTATATTTATGTATATATACCATTTTCATTATTTAATTGGAATAAAAAGAAGCAATTCTAAGTTTTGTGTGTGTGCAGACACTTCCCTATGAATGCAGGATTAGCCAAGGAACTCAGATTTTTTATGGTCTGAAACTGGGGTAAAACAAATGTGGTGCATTTATGGGATGTCCTCTGTCCTTTATGGTCATCAAAGAGATTTAAGTCTATGAGATTATTACCATGATTCTATATAAAATTAAATTTTTCAAGTATTCAGCCTTGGAAGTGAAATAGCTAGTCAAATATTCTACTTAGAAAGTTCCACTGGGTAACAGAATGTAAAAAACATGGGGATTATAACTCAAGGAAGAGTTACGGCTAGAAAACTGCATTTGAACCAAGCTCAGCTGACTTCTCACTCTGTATTTCACTGTAAAATGGCTAACATTTGAGACACAAGAAAATAACAGTTTCATTGTTGACTTAATTGGGGTTTTAAAAATTGTTTCTAAGGTTTTGCTTGTGTCAGTACAGACAACTATTTTCAACTCCCCACACTCCAGTCCTGCTTTCTTGATTTCTATACTTTCTGTTATTGGCGACCCCTATTATTTAAACCATAGGTAAATCGATCAAGGCTACTCAAATCCATTCTATATAATTTTCTGAATTACAATTTTAGAAATATAACCAAAATGTTTCTTGAGATTGGTTTTTAGAAAATATGTTTTTAACTTTTCAGAGATTCTGGCCTAATCAATAGTCACAACAATGGGTGAAAACTTCAGCCTGGGATGAGGGATGATATTCTACAGACTAACCGAAGCTTCAATAGCCTCAAATTTAAATTAGTATTTAAGTACCTTGAATAAAAACCTAAAGTTTCTCATTCTGTATCCCTTTTTTACAGGCAGAATACATTAGTTCATCTCTACTTTCTCCAAAATTCAAGACCAAAAGAAAAAACGGAAACAAGCATAAGGAGAATAAATACAGAAAGAGGCAAAGAGAAATGCTGATTTCTTCAGCAATCTTGGGATTCGGAGAGTCTAAAATGACCACATTTGAACGAGCTGATCTGTATTATAAGTTTTCTAAGACTGTCTTGCCCAAAACAGAACAAAAAGCAAAATATAAAGCCTGTTTATCTGAGTCATGGCAAGTGTTTCACGTGCTAAGCTGATTCTCAGATAGGAAGTGATAACTAGTGTCTACGAGTTACATCTGACTAGTCAAGTTCTAGGTACAAGAGATATTGGGAAGATGGCTAAAATTGAAGATGTTCTAGAAAATGATGACTTAATTTTAGATTTGCCTTCTAAACTCTTTTTTTCACCTAAAACTAGGATTTGCGAGATAATTTGATACTACAAATACCACCTGGAAAATACCTGGTTTACCATGAGAAATAGTCTTTTCAGCTTTCACTATGTCTTCTTCTAAAAAAAAGAAAAGAAAAAAAAATTTTTTTTTCAAGTATTTAGAAACTTTATAAATTAACATAGGATGAATACTCTCTGTGAGTTAGGTCTATGATTTGACAAATGAAAAATACCTATTATAATAGACTTAGACAAATGTGTCCATGGAGAAAGAAATATTCCTAAATGTTTTATTTCATGTTTGTTTATGTGAAAAATTTATACAAAAGGCTCTGGTTTCTGAGAAAAAAAATACCAAGAATTTTTATTTACATTTAAGAAACTAAAATTTCCCAAACATAGTCTGTAATAAATCATAAATATAAGAGAATATATCAAAACAGAAACTATTTCAAAACTACTTATAAAAATTTTATGTAAGTGTTATAGATAAAATTAATATACATACTGTGTATTTGTGCCTTTTCAGGTGAAGCTTAAAAAGAAAACATATATTTTCGTTAAAAAAATAAAAATTGTTAAATTACCTGCAAAAATGTAGCATTTAACAAAAACAAATGTAAGTTTTAAATGATTCTAATCCTAACTAACTTTCAATGGCATTGGGCTTCTGTTTAAAAAAAAGGGAAACATAAAACTTGTGTATATCTGGTAAAACATACTAACTCGCAGCAAGTTAATATAATCAAGAAAATAAATAATTAGATAGTAATTGATGAGCCCTGTTACATTACAAATATATTACTTACAAAAACAACTAGAGTCAAGTGGTCAGGCAAATTTTGGAGAAAATTAAAATGGTGAGGTAGTACTATATGTATGTCTAGATTTGGATTACTGAGTTTTTGTATTTGGAAGAATCTTGCAATTTAATTTTTTATTATAAAGAAATAGCTTGCATGGAGCTGGAGGGTGTTTATGAATTTGCCTTAGGTTAAGAGCTAGTTGCTATCAGAATTGGGATTTAGACACTACTTAGCACAGTAAACTTGGAAAGGTCAACCTGCTTTTAGGTCAATGTTAGCTCTTAATAAAACTATAGCATTAGTTTGAGACAATCTTTTCGTAAGAGCACTAAGGGTCTGAAGCAAATCGGAAATGGGGCAGAATCCTAGCTGTGAGATACATTAACTTGAAAATTTGGGGAAAGACAACTTATTTTGGGGGCTTGAGCTATTGAACTATTTTTATCGATGTTAAATATGGGTCCCACATTGTTGAGTATGGTTCAGTTCTGAACTCAGCAGCTTGAAAATCACACCAGGCACGTGTGTGTGCACACACTAGGGAGAAAACAGTTAAATGGTGATAAAAGCAAAGATTGGAGGGATGAATCTACAAACCAAGGAACACCCGGATTGCTGGCAAAGATCAGAACCTAAAAGAGGCATGGAAGGATTCTCCTCTACAGATCTGAGAGAGCCCTGCTCTCCCAGCTCCTTGATTTGGGACATCTACTTTTCAAGACTGTCTGAGACTAAGTTTCTGTTGTTTTCATCCACCGGTTTGTAGTATTTTATTATAGCAGCCCTCTACCACTAACACAGTGAGTAAACATGGACCAACATTTTTAACTGTTTTCAGAATCAGATTGCTGAGTGCTCTTTAGGGGAAAAGAAAAATCTGCTACCTACTGCAGCCCTAAAACACATTCTTCTGACTCATTGTATCCTGGAATTAACAAGCATAATAATCAGGAATCGGGAAAAGTTGGTTTTGTAGGAGGAAACTCAGTCAATTTTTTCTTTGGAACCCCGTAAATTTCTCAGAATTTACCTATGTGAATGTGTGTATTTTTCCCCCCTAGGAACACATAGAATACATAAATGTATATTTGTTTGTTTTATTTTTCAAACCTGTAGATAAAATTTAGTATAATATTTGTACTAGACATAACATTTACAAATAGATATTATACTATTTGTTATGAATATAGAATACAAATTATGACACTCTACATAAAATATACATACCTGGCTTCTCCCCTTTTTTTACTTGTGGTTCTAAACACATAGATAAATATTAATAAGGATTATATAAAGATATTTTCAGTAATCATGCATATTTCTTTTATATATTATTCATTGTTTTTTAATCACTATATTAATTTCCTTTTTCTATGACTATGGAAAATTAATGCAAACAGACAAGTAAAGGTTTCTCACTCTCATTCACAAAAATAATTGTTTTGAGAAAAAAATTAAAGTGCAAGCTAAAATTTTTAATAACGATATAAGAAAAGATATTGTTAGTTTGTGCCTTCAGTCAAGGAGGAAGGAAATTTTCAGTATTTTCCAAGAAATAGAATAATAGGCATATGGTCTACACAAAATGTTTAAACTTTTGACTTTTAGAAAAATATTCAATGTGGAATCAGAGGATATATAAAAGCATGCATTTAAGATTAGATTTATTTATTTATTTATTTGCCATGCATATGACATACGTGGAGGTTTAGGCTTGGCTTCTTTGCCTGGAAAAAATTTTAAAATTGTTAAAGACTGAGTTGAGTATACTATTCTTATTAAATTTACACTATTGAATATGATAGATGGTCATATATTTGATAATCAAAATCAACCATATAGACCCCACTATCCTCCTTTACTGACATTTTTTAGTATACGTAATTTCATATCAATGGCCAAGTTACTAAATGAAAAAACATTTTAAATAAACTCGTAGTTTAACTTTATTGGACTATTAAAAATAATTTGCTCACAAACTCTTGTGAGATACTTTCTTTCACCTAATATTAAGAAAGAACACAGACATTTTACTTTGAGAAAATGGTTGAAACCGTTTATTATCCAATATGAAAAAACTAAGACTACTTTCTTTTAATTTTTATAGAGCAAAAGTTACAGAAGGTTTTTTTAAGAGAGAACTTCACTTTTCTTTGTCTGTTAAATGTTTCTTCCCTTTGCCGCACCCACTCTCTCTCTACCACCCACACTCTACCACCTACTTCCGTCGTTTACAGTCTCTGGTATAATCTCCACTACTTTATCTTTGGATCTCTCCATCTCTGCCATAGAGTGTAGACAGTCATCATATATTGGATGGGGATATATTTTTAAAAATCTGGCTCATGGGAACCAGCAGTTAGCGTAATGGCTATGTCGCTGGACTCCCACGTAGTCGACGGCGGTTCGCATCCTGGACCCGGTGGCTTAAAACTCACGCTGGTCGCGTGTCCGTGCGTGCCCAAGATCCTGAGAGGAGAATGGAAGAGAAGGGATTGTGGCATGACCATCCCCTCTGGGGGGTGATTTCTCGCTTTCTGTCTCTCTGTCTCTCTCTGTCTGTCTGGCAAGCACACTCGCCCTATAGTGAAAATCTCTCCAAAAAAAAAAAAAAAAATCTGGCTCTCTTCACATAGCATTAAGTCTTCTATATGTATTGATTTGTAAGAAGTATTTATTTAATTTTATTTATTTATCATTATTATTCAATTTAACCAGAGAGAGAGAGAGAGAGAGGGAGAGTGAGAAAGCAAGCCACTATGTCTGGGACTCAAACCATGATTGGCCATGTGGAAGTCCAGCACCTTAACCACCACACCATATCCATTTTGAATCAAATGATAGGGTCTCATTGTTTCTTTCTTTCTCTCTTTCTTTCTTTTGTTCTTTCTTTCTTTCTTTTTTTAAGAGAGAGAGAGATTTTTGCTATAGGATATGTGTGCTCATCAGAGAGACAGAGAAAGAGAGACAGAAAGTGAGATCATTCCACAGGGGTGACAGCCACACTGCAATCACTTCTCCTCCACTCTCCTCTCACAAGAGGAGTCAACTACATGAAAGTCCAGTGATGTGACCATTGTGCCATCTGTTTGTCCCATGATTCTTATTGTTTCTTATGGCTGAGTAATATTCCATGGTCTATTGTTTCCATTTCCATTAAAATTATCAATACTATTGCACTTTTCAACTTCCATTTAATAATTAATTCACTATAACCTAGTATTTATTCCCACCATTTTATTTATCTGTTCTCTCTGGTCACCTATCCCCTACTACTTGCTGAGACCAATGGACGTATTCAATCATATGGATACCTTTCTTTTTTTCCAATTCTTGATCACTTTGTTTCTGGGAAGAGTAAACATATCATACCCTATTTTAATGAGATATACATATGCATGCATTCCCAAGATCCCAAAAGGGGAATGGAGGAGAAGGGAATGTGGCCCGGCCACCCACAGTTGGGGGAGCGGGGAGTGATTTCTTGCCTTTTGTCTCTCTGTCTCTCTCTCTGTCTTTCTGGAGAGTGCACATGCCCTATAGCAAAAAACTCTCCAAAAAAAAAGAAAAAGAAAGAATCAAATTAATCACTTGACATAATCCTCTAAGAAACATGCACAGGGACCAACAGTTGGTGTATTGGCTATGTCACTGGACTCCCACGTAGGTAGTTGACCGCAGTTCGCATCCGGACCCGGAGGCTTAAACTCATGCCGGGCGCGTGTGCGTGCATGCCCAAGATCCTGAGAGGAGAATGGAGGAGAAAGGATTGTGGTGTGGCCATCCCCCCTTGGGGAGTGATTTCTCGCTTTCTGTGTCTCTGTCTCTCTCTGTCTGGCTGGCTAGCGCATACACCCTATAGCAAAAACTTCTTTAAAAAAATGCACAAAAATGCATTAAAAACATGAAGCACACACACACATACACACACACACACACAGAATTGCATGTCAAAGTGAGAGTGCTACTCATTCATAAGACTAGGTTGTGATAAACACTGGATAGCTGTCTATTTTCACAAAGATGTGTAATTATGAGATCAGGCTTTCAGAACTAGTTGTAGAAGTCCACACACCCAATATTTTGTAAATGCAACCATATTGGAAATAAATTTTTGCAGTTATAATAAAATGGAGATTATTAATCTGGACCCAAACCAATATGATTCCTGTCCTTATAAGAAGAGGAAAAGAGGGACCAGCAGTTAGCGTAATGGCTATGTTGCTGGACAGTGGATTGCCCAGACCCGGCAGCTTAAACTCACGCTGGGCTCCTGTGTGTGCTTGCCCAAGATCTCGAGAGGAGAATGGAGGAGAAGGGATTGTGGCATGGCCATCTCTCCTGGGGGGTAATTTCTCACTTTCTGTCTCTCTATCTCTCTCTGTCTGTCTGGCGAGCGCACACGCCCTATAGCAAAAAAAAA